AATCCATATGGACACCAAAACAATATGTTTAACTTCTTGAGTAGCTAAGTATAAACTTCTTTTGACTGGGCTGGCCTGCCTGCGTGGATTTCCTCCGGGTGCTCCAGCTTCCTCCCACAGTCCAAAAAAAAAAAAAAAAAAAACACATGTGCCTGTCCTGTAATAGACTGGCGATCTGTCCAGCCCCCCATAAGATCCTCTACAGGATAAGCAGTATATCTAAAGGATGGATGGACAGATGGATAACCCATTTTGTCACACGACATTTGCCAACATGCTCAGTGTTACCTGAAGGTCCTTGACTTTCTTCTACACAATGGCCACATAGTATACTGTATATTTATCACGCAAAAACAGTAAGGTAAAAGAAACAGGAAGGTGAATACGGGCAAGCAGATGGTGCACCATTGCTCTATATTTAAATATTCCTTTTAGTTTTCCCAGTACCAAGTAACACTTAGGAACATTCATATATATGGTGCCCTTGAGCAAGACACTTAGCCTGCAACTGCTGGTTAAATAAAGATCGATCTCTTTTAAAGTGCTTCTGGTCTCTTTCTCCCTCTCTCCCTCTCACACACGCGCACAGTCACTTGGCTAATCTAGAAACTCTTTACTATGTATACACACTGTAAACAGAGGATTAGCACTAGTAAGGTAAAAAGGCACTGAGATGAAAAGGTGGAGATGGCGATGCAGGTGTTCAGGGAGAGTCTTATTGCTAATCTTATTACGCTGCATCGGCTGGTTCCAAAGAAACTGAATCATATCAGTCTGTTTGGTCTCAGACACACACACACACACACACGAGTTAGATTTAAAAGATGATTATTTTGCTACAGTGAAAAACTGCACAGGTGTCTGTCTGTAACCCTTGACCCAAATCAAGTCTAATGTCATGTTTTGATTAGTGCTCAATAATACTTAAACTTTTCCAATTTGATTATTAAGAATTTAGGTATAGATATTTTTCAGATGCTTTACTTTGAGAAATGCTGGTATCCATGGTGTAAAGACATTCAATTGAATTAAAACAATATTTAGGACCTCAAAAAGCACCCAAACAGGTCTGAGTCATAGCTCTCCACCCTGCATGAATGCCCATCTGCAGGCTTTGGCTTTGCAAATGCTGTCAAACATTAAACATCAGGCGGAGGTTAAAAAACAAAAAACAAAGTGGAGATGGGACAGAGACAGAATGAGACGAGAGGAAAAAAATAGCTGGCACAAGATAGACTGTACATACTGTACTCTCAGTGGTGGCAGGCAGCCCAGGTTGGCAAGCCGCCAAGTCCTCAATGCAACATGCATAGAGAAAGAGACGGACAGCAAGGCAGACAGACAGACAGACAGACAGACAGAAACAGAGTGAGAGACAGAGCGGAAAGCAGAGGGGAGGGAGGAGGTGGCAGCAACAGCAGCGTCTGAAACACTCCACATCCACGACACGCTGCGCATACCAAAAAGCCTCTCCACTTCCACTCTCTCACTTCATCTCCCCAATATTCTCTCTTTTCTGAAGCGAGCTGAAGGATGATGGCGGCAGCGGTGGAGGAGGAGGAGGAGGAAGAGAGGAGGGGCTGAGGTTGAGGGTTTTGGGACTTGGTGAAGTGTCATCATTACAGAGACACAAGATAAAAATCGAGACACGACATCACGACAAAAAAGCCTTGAAAGTCAAATGGTGGAAGCAAAGGTAGAGGAGAGAAAAAAAAAAAGAAAAACTGCCAAAAAAAGACAAAAACTATCAGAGAAGCTTTGCCTCAGCGCTCTCTCTTCCCTAACCGCCGCCTGCCTCAACAGAAGCGCTTGTCTTGCCTTTTACGCCAGACCAAAGCGGCTATGAATCAACACTGATGTGTATAACAGTACAGGTTAATGTCGTGCGTCAAGACAGCCCCGCTTGGAAAGAGAAAAAAAGAGAAAGAGACAGAAAAAGTTTGTGCACTTGCTGCCACTGTTGCTAAAAATATACTGCCCACATCCTCCGCTCTGTTGCCTTTCTCAAGGTGGAGTATAAGGTTCTTTCTAGAGTTTTCAGTGTTAATTTTTCCATTTTATCTCCAATCAGCCTGGATTTCAGCCTAAGTTGTTATTATTAACCTGTTGATATCAAAGGAGATTTTTAAATATTCTACTTTATATAGGAAATCTGTAGATATAGATATATAGCAAAGACTGATTCACTGCGGTCTAAGCTGACTCAAGCAACATGGTTCTGCCTTTCATTCAAATGTTTTTCTTTTAACAAGACATTTATCTTTCTTTTTCACACTAGAGGCATTTATTCAATAAGTAATCGTGATCTCTCTGGCCTTAAAATTCCAAAGACATGTGCAGTGCGTTGTCCTCCCTTATTGCATATCTTTATGGGAAACTGAAACAGGTTTGATTTGGATTTTCTTAAAGATGGAATGTGTTAATCTACAATCAATGGATTGAATACTATAACAAAAGAGAAATAGTTGGCAAATATTGTCAAAAACCTGACAAAATATGAAACCATTAAATTATTTTCTGGATTCTTACACACAACCTGACAGGTCATGGCACAACGTGTTATTGGAGATTCTATATCATGAGCTTTCAGCTGCTAGGATAAATGAAACTGGTGAGTTCTGGATGGACACTATTAGTTCAGTAAAAGGTTTATTACTCCCATCTCCTATGTCTATGTTGTTATTTTAAATATTTTACTTCAAATTTGTCAATACATGCATAGAGAGAGGTGGGAATGGAAGGTTGGTGTTGGAGGGGAGTTTGAACAAGTTCATGTTTTCTTTAAAAAAAAAAAAAAAGGGCAATGTTGGCAACAGCAAATATGAGTAATAAGTAACGGCACTCAGTTGGACATAAAGTTCCACTATGCCAGTACCAGCGAGTACTGTATTAAACATTTTCTGTTACAATTAGTTCTACTATGACCACTATAATCACAATTTCCCAGAATTGGTCATTTGTTAATTGTTAACCATCCATCCACCATGGATAATTGCATCCATGTCAGCAGCCAACTCTTTGAGACTAATCTCCACTGGTGCATGCAGAGAACAGGACACACACTTCAGGAACAGTCTGAGCACAACATTACCTTTACTCACCCTCAGCGTCCAAGAAAACTAACTTTTATTATTATTATTGCCACACTGTCCAACCCAGTGACCCACAAGCACAGAGCCAGCTCTAGAACAGAACCTTTAGAGCCACATGTACAGCACAGTACAACAGTCTGCTTTGACAAGTGAATGAGAAGGGGAGCATATATTTGCAGTGGGGATTGTGAAAACGGGGTGTAATTCTAAGATTAACAGTGAATATTTTCTTGGAGCAACTTTTGTTTTTGACACTGAGCTGTTTGCTGAGTCAATTCACTGGCACAGTTTGAGTCTGTCATCAACTTTGTCACAATATAGCAGGAGTGTCAGCACAAAGAAATGATCCTAGCAATTACTGTTTCCTGTCTACTGACAGTATTTGGCTGGGGGAGCAGGGGGCTGTTGTATGTCCAGCACTGTCAACGACAATGCCAAATAAAGAAGTCAGATCATTAAGTGTGTCTAACTGGAAAACATACAGAGCGCCAAACAGAGGGCTCAATCTCTGGACCAACGTCAACACATAGATTTAGTATTTTGCATGTGTGCAAAAAAGGTTCCCTCAGAGGTCTCACAGTGTTTCAATAAACCATCTGCACTTAGAGTCTTAGAACTGAGGACCTCTTTGCTGCCTAGACAGTCTGTGCCATTAAAGCAGCACTGTTCTAAGTAGGCTCAGAGCACAGGGACTGATGTGGTGGATGTGTGTGTGTGTGTTTAGGGGTAGTGGTAACACTGGCTGCACCAATCAATGTGTCCAGTGTTCTGACTTGTCCTGCCTTTCAGGCCTCTAATGTCACAGAGGTGTAGAATGACAGGATGATGATGTGCAGGCACCACTTGGGCTAAGCTTCCCAGAGCTGCTCAGCTTTATGGGGTCGAACAGTTATTTAATCCACAAGTCAGTAAAACTGGGCTATGCTCCACACTCGCATATTCAAAATCAGTATACAGTATATATATACATAGTGAGATGAAGCATGTGTTAGGAAGGTTATTAATTTATTCTGCTCTCAGATTGTTGTAGTATCAGTGTCGATGTTGACTGTAAATAGACCATAATGACTATGCATTTTATTTACTCTGTAGTAAATCTGTCACTTTGCATCTGTGAACGAACATTAACCAAATTTATGAGGTGCAAGAGTAAACACTGAAGTTAGGCTTTTCTTAAAGATGTAAGAGTATTACATCTTTAAGAAAAGAGTTTAACTCCTTTTCACAAGGAGTTTTTACTACCCACACTGAAAGTGTGCTACAGGGTTAGATGTTGGTTTCCATTCATTTAAACAAGCTATGAAAGTTCAGCTTTAAGGGAAGTAAAGCCTGACTGAGTTCAGGACCGTCAATACGCATCCAGGGTTTATGACCTTGCTGTTGTTTATTGTGACCAAATAAACACATTAGGAAATAATAAAACAAAATAAAATAAGACTACTTTGGTGGCTTGGTAAGAAATGATCTTGAACTTCTGAAATTCTGGTTACATCAAGTCAGTTTTTTTTCTTGGCAAACTTCCAATTATATATAATATAGTTGTACAGTAAATGCACACCAATTTCAAAAGGCTGCACAACGATATGAAAGGATTCCGAAAGTAATTAGAACTGTATCTCCACATTGCCACGTATGCAGTACACCAAGATTATCTACTAGAAATACAAGTATATAAAAACAAATACAAGTGCCCTTAAGTAGGCCTGTAGGAGACTGGAACGCAAATGACAAAAATCAAAACTGGAAGCTCTCTACTCCCATTGGCATAAGTGTGTACTGAATTACAGACTTGCTCTGTCTGCTGCTGTAGCAGCATATTTCACTCCCTTAATAAGTAAGAATTACCATAAACAAACATAAACACTTGCACAAAAACAGACGGGTTTTTGGGTTGTTTGATTGCTTTACCTGAATGAGACAGCAAATGCATCCGTAAACGGAGGCTGTCCAGGAAGCTCTTCCCACACAGCTCACAGCCATAGGTCTTCATTCCACTGTGCATCTTCCTGTTGGCAAAGAGCAAAGCAAAACACTTTACTGCCTGAACTCTCTTGGTAAGAAAGTCGTTTTTGAGCTGGCAAAGCTTAATGTGCATACATATTACTGAAATAGATTTTTGTGTCTCTATTAAACTAAGTGGCGTTTTTACAGCTCATAACTAATGACTTTGAGCACAGCAAAGGTTTGTTGGCCTTTCACAGTTTGAGGAAAAAAACGTCACACCCCATTGATCATAACATCAGTACTAACAATAACCATCAGTGTAACAAGCCGTCCAAGTGCCATACATATTCTTCTGCAGGGAGCACCAGACCATGTCTTGATGCTGTAAATCACAAAATGCTATTCAGACAGAGCCATTATCAACTCACTATATCTCAAGTGCTACAGATGGATAAGGTGCTATAAAGCGAAATATAATGATTTATTCAGGCAAACACAGAGGACAGCTACTTAGCATTATGATCCATTTACAGGTCACTTTTTAATTTCAGCTTTCTAAACCATAAGGTGATGTGTAGCTTGAAGCAATATCAGATGTGCAATTACTGGTCTTTTTATAAATAGACAGTCATTAGGCTGTAACATAGTTTAAGTGCACAAGGTCAGACAAGACTAAGGGTCAATATTTGATTATGTGGTAAAGGCCTTGAAGGTTAGGTAACTAAATAACACCTGACAACATAAATTCTAGCCCTGTGACTCTCTCTGTTACGAAATCCTCAAAGACCCCCCAGCTCAGTACAAAGCATATTATTCTTGAGAGATATCTGAAAGTGTTCTAAAGCAATTAGGGTGACACGAATTGCCAAACAACTGCCACAGTGCCTTAAGCCCCCTAAGAACTTCAAATACCTCACCTTGAGTGAGGCACAGAAAGACATACACGCCCATGATCGCGATGAGTTTTTGTCAAGTTTGTGTTGTTTCACGTTTGGCATATTTAATCTTCCAAAACCACTGCTCTTTGACACAGTGAGGCTCCAAACTGTAGATTTTTGAAGATAATGCTAGATTAAGATTTTTTTTTTTTTTTTTTTTAGATTTTTTTGAATGCACTGAATGAAAAGATGAAAAAACTAGACTCCCAGATGTGCACAGAAAGAGCGCATCATTCTATACTCAGGTGAGTGTATGCTTCTGGCAGACAGAACAAGACAACGTCAAACAGACAAATTTCACCGTCTCTGCTGACGAGTCGTGTGGCGCAGACTGATCAGCTGGGTGCATTCTTCAGGAAACAATGCCCTTGATAAGAGATTCGCTCAACTTTGCAAGATGACAGCCATCCATCTTAACATTTCTCAACAAAGCTGCGGAGGAGTAGGTGGTGCCACTCTCCCAAAACATGACTGATTGATGTCAGATGTCAAATGCAAATTGATTTACAGCTCTCTTTTATGCCTCAAGTAGAGTAGTGAGAAAGACAGTGAGGCTGAGACAAAAACAGACAAGACAGAGATAAGAGTGTGTATGTCCTATTGCAATGACTGTAGGTGTTATTAATAGCAATACATTCTAGTATGACTTCAGTGACGATTAATTGTTACAAAACATCCTTGAAACCTCACAGATACCAGAAATGTAATACAGCAGGACTGAAGAAGTCATGAAGGCAATTGCAGTGGTTAGAATTTGTGAAAAGACCCTTTAAAGCCAAAATGACAACCCTTTGACAAGTACGGAGTAATTAAAAGGCCCTATATATGCCAAATGCACCCCAAAAGGGAAAGGGGGACACTTGACAAGCCAATAAAGGAGATAACTAGGCACAGAGAGACAGTAATGCCACACCTAGAAAAGGGAGCAATACACTACACTGTTAGATACAGTATAATTCTGTTATGGTACATACAGTCCAAAAGTTACAACATGATTTAATATACTTTAAGAAAACATTTCCACCTCTTACTTTTCCCAGAATATCATTCTACCAGGAAAATCTGAATGTATGTGCAAACAGAAGCAGGCATCAAGGCATAACAACACAGACAGGACAATTCAAATTAGACAAAGCTTCAATGTCAAACAGATGCATGGCATTGTGGTCTGCACTCCCTGCTACATCTGCACTGGAATTCATTCCTAATGACTGGTACAAGATACCGGCATTAGAATGATTCTCTGAGGAGCCAAAGCCTAACTTATGATTGAGGCAGATAAAAAATACCTTCATGTAATTTTGTCTTTGACAAGTTATCGAGATAAATGAGACCAGATACCAACAAACAAACAAAAAAAAAAAAAATGGACAAAGGACTGGAACAGGATTTTTTCCTTTAGGATCATAGGTGATGTACTTACACACTTTCACTGATAAGGGGGAAAACACACACAAGTGGGAAACCACAACACAACATATAGAGAGCACAAAGCCTTTCAAAGGCCTTTTGTGTCACTCCTCAATCTGACCATTGTGCCCCCCAGACAGAGCACTGATAAGGTATGGATGGACTTATTAAAGACACTTGAAGTAGAAGCCATGGATTTTCACCATAAATGTAGTGCTGATGTGCAAAGTGCTGTGTGTATGTCCCTAGCTGAGAGTGTGTTAAGTTTAACTTCAATAGCGAGCACTGCCCATTGAAACAGCACATTACATGCTGTTCAACAGAATGGTAACAGCACCTGTTCCAGTTATTTAGTCTGTTAAAGGAAAGGTTTAGGACTTTTGGAAGCTTTTCCACTTGACACCAACAATGACCTATTTTTTTAGCATATTTAGTTAACAGGGTATGATGCTTCTGTGCAATTATTTTATGAAAAATAATTAAAAGCCATAAAGTTGATATGAGAAGGGCACAGGCCAGGTAGCCAAGTGGCTTGTGTCTGGCCTGCCTGGTTTCCAGATTTGTACCAGGCTAATGAACAAAATTAGGTTGTGTATAATGGTCCAAATGTGGCTAAAAGCTAGCCTGAGTGGCTCTAATAGAGTTGATTCCCAGGCATGAGGCCAAGCCTGCACCTTATAAAAAAAATATCTAGCCAAATTTAGAATCCACCCATGTATGAGTCACATTTGAGTCAGGTCACATTTGATCCTCTGGGGCCAGAACACAGGTAAGTGTGCATTGTTTCAGCTGCCCCAACTTGACTGGCTACCTTGCAGCTTTTCCTTCTATTTTTTTTTTTTAACGAACAGATGTTCCAGCCAATTTTTTATGCTTATAAATACAGAGATGATTAAAAACGCACCCCTTACTTGTGAGTACCACTGTGGCCAACCATTTTGGGGACACTAGATGGAAAAATAAGGTCACGTTAAATATATGAATGTTTAAGAATATGATTCACTGGTCCAGTGATTATGAGTGTGACTGCACCTTGTGTGAGCCACACAAAGCTGTCGACAGATAAAAGGTGCACCTTTGTAATACAGTAGAATATTAGGCCAAGATTAGACAACATAAGCATTTTAGGTATGAGTTACTGGTGGAAGTACTCAGATCCTTTACTTAAGTAAAAGTAGCAATATAATGGTGTATAAATACTCTAAAGTCCTGCATTCAAACTGCTACTTAAGAAAAAGTACAAAAGTATTATCATCAAAACATAAAGTACCACAAGTACTCATAATGCAGAATGGCACATTTAACATTAATGTACATCCTACTACACAAAATGAAAAATACTCAAGTACAGATACCCCAAAATTGCACTTACAGTTGATATATGCTTTGAAATGCTTTGTCTGTCTAATCAAAGCTGTTTTTTAAACTGTAATTCAGCTTCAATGAGGTTTAATGATATGTAAAAAGGCACTAAAATATCGTCTCAGCTCAGTGATTTAGCTTGGACAGACCTCCCCTCACACATCCACAAACTCAAATCAAATCCTAACTGTCTGCTTTCATGTTGTACTAGTGAAATAGATGATGAGGTGTGTGTGTGTGTGTGTGTGTGTGTGTGTGTGTGTGTGGGAGTTTAGGGAGGGAGGGAGGCAGGGAGGGTGATCTGAAACAGAGTGACTGTAGCCATTAAGGAAGTTCACATAAAACTCTCTCTCAGGCCATTTACTTAGTTAATAATCGACTTTGTCCTACAGTCACTTTTGACAACAGCAATAAATTTTAAATTTATGTCAACAAAACATATGCTGATCACCTCGTGTAGTGTGCTTCCTCGTAAAAATCAGTCAAACCAAGGGCTGTCTGAGTGGATGAGTGTGTGTATGTCTGTGTTTGAAATGTGAGTCGATTACAGGCCTGTGTTATTGAGCCGTAACAGCTTGCCTCGTGTAATTCATGCTTTTTTTTCCCCACCCATTTTGCAGCTGAACCTGGCTGGCTATATATCATAAGTAGCACTGCATTTGGAGAAATAAAGGCTCACAGTTAAAAAAGTCAAAACAAGGTGATGTACTGATACAACACACTACAACAAATCAAAAAACTGAAAGACCTCCACAGTCCTTTGATGGCTTTGAGTCATCCAGATTTCTTATGATTGAACTTTGACAGAGGCAGTGAAACTACTGTCAGGCCTCATTAAATCAAGTGACTCTACTTGAAACTCATGCTGATGTCCTCTGCGGCTCACATCAACATTTTATATCACCACATCAAAACTATTAAACAAAATAACATAAATAAAAAAGCCAAGCAGGCTTGTGCTTGACTTGCACTTATTTCTCATTGCTTATCTAAAATCTATTTCTCCCTTTGCCGCTTTGAGTGCTGCTCTCCATCCTCATCTATCCTTTCATCTTTTATTTTTCCATTTTTTCTTCCATCCTCTGTTCCTGAAGGGAGCTATAAAACAACCTGAAATGATGTTTGTAAATAAAAGCTTTGGAAAAAGAGAAATGTGGGGTTAAGATGGAGAGAAGAAAACACTATGAGATAAAGAGAGACAATTGATAAGAGGTGGTAAATTGAGGAAAGGCTGTGTGGCGTATGTGTGTGACTGTTCATTAGTTCTGTGGGGCAGATGAAAAAGAACTGATAATTGGGGAAAGCAGGGCCACTGAATAGAGCTTAGACTTAAGTAGCAGAAGGATGGTGAG